ACCTGCAGCGGCTGATAGGTCAGGTGGTAGAGATCAGAGGTCTCAGCAGCAGACTCGTGTGCGGTGGCAGCATGGCAGCGTGACTGCGAGGATGCCTGCATGTTCCGGGGGACCTTGAACCAGCAGACTCTGGCGAGATGTCCTTGCTTACCGCAGGTGTGGCAGGTCACGTCCTGGAAATGGCATGTCTTCCTTTCATGTGCCTCTCCACAGCTGGCACATTGGGAATGGCTGGGGGCCTTCCTGGCATGACTGGTGGATGGCGGCCCCTGCTGCTGCCGGAGTCGCGTTTGCCAGACGAAGCAGACATCTTCCTCATCTGAGTTCTCCGGGCTGTGTCCCGGGCTGACTTGATGTGCTGCAGCTGTTGGGCGCTCCTTGTGTGATGCCTCGTGTGCTAGGGTGAGCTGCAAGGCCTCTTCCAGGGTGATCTTACGGTTGCCGATAATCTTCCTCTGCAGTTTGGTGTCTGTAAGTCCCCACACGAATTGCGTCAAGAGGTTGTCTTCCACCTTGGGGAAGGAACAGTCCACAGCAATTGTGCATAGAGCGGCCATAAAGGCTGTGGCAGATTCCCCTTGGGCCTGCACTCATCCCTGGAACTCTATTCGTCTAGCCAGGAAAGTCAGCTTCGGACTGAAGCAGTTGTTGAGGGCTTCTATTATCTCCTCAAATGAACACTCCAGGATGGCACGGGGAACCAGGAGACTCTTGGCGAGCCAAACAGTGTCGGTTCCACAGGAACTGAGGAGGAGGGCCCTTCTTTTTCCAGCATCTGTGAAGCCATTTAACTCAATGTAACACATCAGCTGGTCCTCCAGGAATCCCAAACTTTGGGACGTGAGGGATCCAACTTGTCGATGTTTCCTTGAGCAGTGGCCATGACTCACCAGCATTGCGGGTAGCCGGGTGCTGCGGTGCGGTGCTGCTAGAGAGCAGTGTGGGGCGTGCTGGCTTCCTTCAGCTCGGAGCTCGATGCCACAGGTGGGGAGTCAGGCTTGCTCTTCGGATCCCATCCTCGTCGCCACTGAAAACTACTGGGTTCGATACATCAGGATGTGTACCACAACATCGGAGAAGACGCGTTTATTAGTACTTAACACATGGAACAGAAACTAACGGCCGGTTGGCCAACTTTATACAATTGTGGAGGGACACCCCTAGGTCCTATTGGCTCCTTACTTGTAGTTCAGGAACCTAGTCCCTATTGTCTTCTGGATTGAAGCTCTAGCTGCCTCTGGCTGGCATCAGGCAGTATCAGAAGACATAACACTTTTCATTTATTTATCACTTAGTCTAGAATAACTCTGCATAATATTGCACTTAGAATGTTAGAATGGTCAAATATAAACAAAGAAATAATCAGGAATTAAGCAAGTATGAAACTATCCTCTATCAGAGCAAGTTTCTTTGCCTTTTTAAAATTTCACTTTTCCTTTTGACTCTTACCAGCCAGCTGAAATAACTCTGTAATATAAAAGAGCTTTTGATTATATCCCACATCATGTTTATTCAAAGTCAATTGTCAGATAACTCTGAACGGTCATTTTAATAGCATGATTGATGTTCATTATCTCAAGTGAATGTCTTAATATTTGTGAGTACATTCTATTGCACTGTGTGACAACCTGTGGCATGATTAAAGTATGTGGGTCAAAGGATACTGCTTGTGGCTTGAGGTAATTAGCTGCATTATATATTGTGAATATGTGCGGCAATTATGATCCTTTAATTTTTAATAATAGATTCTGTCTGCAAGAAAAGCTTCCATTACTTATTATTTTGTGCCTGGCAAAGGAAGGGAAAGATGAATATGAAGACGCTGATTCATTTGATACAGATGGGTAAAACCCAATAAATTAGCCTACTCTGAGTTAAGTGTGCGAAGGGGGAATCACAAGGACATGAGTACCAATGTATATCAAGAAAGGGCACACAGATAATCATCAAGTACCCTTGTGGGAAACAGTGTGGATTCCTGAAACTAATTCTAGGATTTAACTCAGAAGCAACATGCCAACCCATCCATATCAACTATTTCAGTGTTCACTTCCCTGGCATGGTGCAATTAACAATGCTACAGCTGGGAGTGAATTTTGGTTTCTAACACAACAGAAAAAGTAGCCCTCTGGGGGAAATCTTCTGTAGGAATCTGTATGAATATATTTAAAAACTGAGTAAGACTGGCTCCTTGGCCTTTAGTGCCTAATGCAGGGCTGGGACAAGCAGTGGTTGGTCTGGGTTGACCTGATCTGTTGCTCAACCAAAAAATATATTGCTGGTTGGCTGACAAATCTGGCTTGGGAAATTTAAGAAAATTTGGGAGTGGTGATCTAGGAGAGTGGAGCTTGGGGAAGGGAGGGGCTTCAGAAAAGATGTGGTGCCATAAAATCCCCCCTACCTCCTCCAAAAACTGCCATTTTCTCTGGGGGAGCTGATCTCTGTAGTCTGGAGACATGCAGTATTTCCAAGAGAATTTTAGCCCCCACCTGGAGGTTAGCAACACTGGCTGAAGCCGTGGGGGACCAGTGTGGAGTTTTATCTCCCCATGTCCATTCAAGCTTTGTTTAAGTATGCTTCACATATTCAAGTAAGTGCTATCAAGTCATAACTGACTTATGGTGACCCCAGCAAGGGTCTTTGAAGGCAAGTGAAAAGCAGAGGTGGTTTGCCATTGTCTTCCTCTGCAGAGCTGTCCTTGGTGGCTCCCCATCTAAGTACTGATCCTGGTTAGCTTCTGAGATCTGATGAAATTGAGCTATACCATTGCCCTTCCCTCCCTCTTTCCTTTTACAACCTGGGGAAGACAGGAAGACAGGAGCCTGGCATCCGTTGGATGGATTCATGGTTGGTTGAAAAATCTTACTCAGCGAGTGCTCGTAAATGGCTCTGTGTCTACGTGGAGGGAAGTCTTGAGTGGAGTGCCACAGGGCTCGGTCCTAGGCCCACTGTTGTTCAATGTTTTTATAAATGACCTGGAGGAAGACATAGAGGGGATGCTTATCAAATTTGCAGATGACACCAAGTTAGGTGGGATTGCTAATTCCGAAGAAGACAGAGTCAGGATTCAAAATGATCTAGATAGGCTGGAACAGTGGGCTGAGACAAATAAAATGAATTTCAATAGAGATAAGTGCAAAGTCCTACACTTAGGTACAAAAAAATCAAAGGCACAGATATAGAATGGGAGGGACTTGGCTTGACAGCAGCACATGTGAAAGGGATCTAGGTGTTCTGGTTGATCACAAGCTAAACATGAGCCTGCAGTGTGATGTGACTGCGAAGAAAGCTAATGCAATCTTAGGATGCATTAACAGAAGCATTGTGTCCAGATCAAGGGAGG